TCTTTCTTTCTTTCTTTCTTTCTTTCTTTCTTTCTTTCTTTCTTTCTGGACAGGGTCTCTCTTTGCGGCCCTGGCTGTCCCAGAAATCACTCTGTACACCAGACTGCCATCAAAGTCAAACATCCACCTGCCTTTGCCTCCGGAGTTCTGGGATTAAAGGTGTGCATCACCGGCCCTGGCTAAGGGCTCAAACTCTTACCTCCACTTCTTAGGTGCTGACACTGACAGAGTGTGCCACCATGCCTGGCAAGTTTACCTTCTGTTTTCGCTGTGATTAGTCATTTGTATTTGAGCATAATTATCTCCTACATTGACATAATCCTGATGAGTGTAAAAGCTTTTGAGAATAAACGTGTAAAGCAGGTAAACACACAGTCCTTTTAACAGCCTATGGCACACAGTAGGATTAACATTAGCCATTCTTCTTGGCATTGTCTGTTTTGTGGCACAGTCTTGATATGCTGACCTCAGCCCCTGGAGAGCCAGGGCTGCAGGTAGATGGTACTGGTGCATCCAATGTGGCACAGGAGGCTCTTGGACTGTAACTTCCTACCTCATTTCAGGTACAATGTGCTGGTAATGGGAATCTACTCACTTTGGTTTTGCACAAGTTCTGGGTCTAATTTACTTTCTATTACACTTAATCCTGACTTAAGAACAAATCCGAGCTCTAGATTGAGATGTTTCCCTTAAAGGTGGGTCCTCAGAGTACAAAAGTGAATAGCAATTTGGGTATAAACACAACATCTAAAGACAAAACTATCCTCCTTGATGATGGTTATAGGTATCCAGAATTCCAATTTATCCCTTGATCATGAGGGAAGAGAGATGATCAAAGGGAGACCCAGCCAAAGGCAGCAACGACTGTTGGATGGGAAGATGAAGGCATGGAGTGTCCATTTCAATACTGACAAAGCTCAAAGCCTTCCCTGGCAGCAGCAAGAAAAAAAATCAGCATTTTTTTTTTTTCTTGAAAATGGTCCTAAAAATCATAGAAGAATTCTAATGTTCCAGGGAGCAGCGTCTGGGTAACCCGTAACATATAGCTAACTAGGGAGACCAGGGTTACTGTAGTTTTTCATCATCATACGGGTCCCTCTGCACAGAGTTCAGACAGGCCCATTCCTCCTGAGAGAAGTCTACATCTACATCAGAGAATGTCACCAAATCCCAAAACCATGAAGCCACATATTCTTGATGAGGTAACAGGAGAGAACTTCAGGATGCAGGGGGCTGTTGGCTGCCATCGTGCTAGCTAAAGATGGAGGGCAGCGTGAACAGCACAATCTGGGCCAACCACTGCTGTGTTACTACAGAGCCTACGGCTGTGCAGATAACATCTGCCAGGGAGAAGACAAAACGCCTCCCTTTCTGTTTACAAGCACAGCAAGTTAGTGCCTGCTTGGTAAGTTACTAGTGGGTGCAGGTTCTTACGACATCTTCACTTTAAGCAAATTAAGTTCATCCTTATTCACATGCCTCACAAAGTGGTGGTCAAGACGACTTGGTAGAAGTTGTTCTTTCTGTTTACTGTGGCTTCTGAGTATCCGACTCAGGTTGAAAAGCTTTGGTGCCAAGTGCCTTTAATTGCTGATTCATCTCACTGGCCATATTTTTTATTTATTTTTATTTTTTTGAGTCAGGGTCCTGTTAGGTAGCCCAGCTAACTCAAGAAATTCATGATCCTCCTTCCTCAGACTCCTTCCTAGTGCTGAGATTATAGGTGTGCACAACTACATCCAGATGATTTTCCTTTAAAATGTATTTATTTGTGTGCATTGAACATGCGTGATTGTGTGTGGTCAGAGGACTTGTGGAAGTTGGCTCTCGCCTTTTTCAACATGGGCTCTGGGGATCAAAGGCAGGTCATCAGGCCCGGCAGCAAGCGCCTCGCTGGTCGTCTCCCTCCACACTCTATTCTGGAGCTCAGACTCAAGGGCTTGCAAGTGCAAAGCAAGCACTGAGCTACATCCCTGGCTCATCTTCCTGTGTGAGTACAGGGGACCGAACCTAGTGCATCATGCAAATGAGGCAAGCACTCTCCCATTGAGCTAAAGTCTCTGCTGTCTGGTTTAATTCTATGTTTATAGGTATTCTGCCTGCATGTGTCTGTGCCTCATGTGTGAGGACAGAAGAGGACGGGGAATGCTCTGGCACTGAAGTTATAGATGGATGTGAGATGTCATATGGGTGCTGGGAATTGAAGCTGAGTCCTCTAGAAGAGCAGCCAGTGCTTAGCCGCGGAGTCATTTCTCTAGATCCTCATTCTTTGTTCTTAAGAAAAATTTTTTTTTAATTTTTTGCTTTTTAAGATCTTTTATTTTCATTTTAAGTAATTAATTCATTTTTTTTCCAATATAGGGTTTCTCTGTATAACATTGGATGTCCCAGAACTCACCCTGTAGACTAGGCTGGCCTCAAACTCAGAGATCCATCTGCCACTGCCTCCTGAAATCTGGGATTAAAGGCGCGTGCCATTATATCTGGCTTCTCAGTATTCTGTGTGTGTGTGTGCCTGTATCTAGGTAGTCCTGTCTGCCCTGGAACTCTGCTCTATAGACCATGATGGTCTCAAGATCTTTTATTTTAAGCTCTTCATATTTGAGTGTTCTCAGTCCTCAAATCACTGATTAATCCCCCTTGTAGTGACAGAAGCACTGAAAAAAATCTCATCCTATAGAAAGATGAATGAGACTTAAGCCGATTGGGGTCATATACCTGGTTGTCTGAGACAACTGTCACTTTTGCCTTTCTCCTGTTCTTGATGTGGAGAACACTGGTACCAATGACTAAGCATCATATGGAGGTCTGGCAGGCCCACCCAACAACAACACATATCTCCTAGTTTCCACAGCAAGCACAGTGCCATCTTCAGAAGCCTCACAAAGCATGTACATCAGCATATATGAAGGTGAAGACCACTGGACATATTCCTTCTTACCTACCCAGAACACAAGGCCAGTCCAGTAGAGATGAACGATGTTTTCTCTTATGGTCCCATGGGACCCATGTGTCCAACTTGTCAGTCATGGATATGACAATATTTTGCACAAGGGATTTTGTTCCTTCATTGTTATAATATTATTCCGGATTAAAAAAAATGAGTACCCAGGAGACTTAATAATTCAGTGACTGAATAAAGAGCTTATATGGGACAATCATTTACTGGCAAAGGGAGCATTGGGAAGACAGGTCTTGCTTAGCTTGAAGTCATTGAGTAATTCACTGCAACATCCACACAGCAGACCAACACATTTTGAGAAGGAAGGGAATGCTTACATGGGCCGTGGTTCCAGAACTCAAGGCTTTATCTGTCATCTTGAGGTTTCTTCCACAATAAAAACAAAGTCTGAGAGTTGAGAACTACAGGAAAAAGCAAATAATTAAAACCAGTGGCAACTTGTTGGGGTGATCTTTTTGTGCACTGTGGAAAGGTTGTCTTTGTATTATTCAGATGCTGATTTCTGTACCAGCAGAGAGCTGGGTACTGGCCCTTTATATTGTTATTCCTATGGTTGCATCATATTTTGTAACCTCTTCTTCCAACACCTTCTGATTGGTTTAAGAGCTGAATGACCAATAGCAAAGGCAAGAAAGGGAAGCAGGATTTCTAGTGGAGACAGGAACTCTGGGAAGGGCCTGAGGCAGGAAGGAGTTGCCTGCTAGACAAGGAGGAAGAAATAGGTATTAGGACAAGAGACTGAGAAAAGGTAATGAGCCATGTGGTAGAATGCAGATTAGTATAAATAGGACAACTGAAGTTAAAAGCTACTTGAGGAACAAGCTGAAGTTAAGGCCAAATGTTAATAATTAATAAAAGGTCTCTGTGTCATTATTTGGAAGCTAGTGCTTCAAAGAAAGCCCTGCTTTAGTAACTGGATTTTCAAATGACTTCTAATTTTCCTCCTCACTTTGCAATTCACTCATAGACACAGTGAAACATATTTGAGATGAAAATAAGACCCAGGAATATTAATATTTCTTAGAATAAGAGGCATTTTACTTTTTTTGGCGGGTTGTCTTAAAGACAGATCCTAACAGTTCTGTGCTTGGAGTATGTCCAGGAGAAGCCTGGGATGTGGTAAAGAGTCTGGTCTTTGAACGAAACTGGACAGGAGCCTACCACAGAGGGCCTCTGAAAGACTCTATCTAGCAGCTTATCAAAGCAGATGCTGAGACTCATAACCAAACCTTCGGTAGAGTGCAGGGAATCACATGATAAAAAAGGGGAGTTAATATGACCTGGAGAGGACAGGAACTCCACAAGGACAAAATACATCAGGGCATGGGGGTCCTCTATTGAGACTGTTTCTCCAACCAAGGACCATGTATGGATATAACCTAGAACCCCTGCTCGGATGTAGCCCATGGTAGCTCAGTATCCAAGTGGGTTTTCCTAATAAGGGGAACAGGAACTATTTCTGACATGAACTCAATGACTGGCTCCTTTACCCCCCCCCCCCCCCCCCAGGAAGGAACAGCCTTACTAGGCCACAGAGGAGGACATTGCAGCCAGTACTGAAGATACCTGATAAGCTAGGGTCAGATGGAAGGGGAGGAGGACCTCCCCTAGCAGTGGATTTGGAAAGGGACAGGGAGGAGATGAGGGAGGGAGGGTGGGATTGGGAGGGAATGAGGGAGGGGGCTATGGCTGGGATACAAAGTAAATAACCTGTGATTAATATTAAAATATAAAAATAAAAGAAAAAAAGATTCTGGTCTCTGCCCTTAGTTCCCAAGAGACAATCTCCATCTTACCTGATAGAAATGCCTTCCTTTCCTTTAGGTAGAGGCCGACCAATCTGGAAAGACCAACCTGGTGACTCAGGGTGAAGGTCCTGGATCAGTGACAACAGACCATGTAGACCATCAGTCTAATGTGCTGAACCGCCATGCTCAATGTCAGAGCGTTGAATGAGCGACAGTTACTAACTTCATAGTGTCTGTTTCTTTCCTGCTAAAATTGGAATAGGAAGACTGTGAGATATGACTGTTCCAAATTTAAGATAATCTATCTAAAGCATGTAACAATATGTAGTGGTTAATATTTTATCTGTTACTATAAATGATCAAGAATTTTACACATGTTTATTAGTCTTTTTCTTTGCAGTTCTGGGGCTCAAGTCCAGCACCTTGCAAATGCTAGGTGAGTGCCCCATTACTGAGCCCCATCTCCCGCCCCATCTAATGTTTATTATTATTTTTTTGACAGGGTCTCTGTCCCTGGTTGATCCAGTATTTGCTGAGTAGCCCTGGCTGGCCTTGACTTGTGACAGTTTTCTGGCCATAGCTTCCCAGAGTGTTGAGATTATAGGCATGTGCTAGCAAGCTCAACTTCCCTTCTTGATGTTTAAGCTTGTGTTCTTTTAACCAGCTGTCTAAATAATAGACACTAATGTCAAATGTTTGGAGGGTGATTTACATCATGAAACACTTACGTAACTGTATTCCAGTTACGTAACACATCCTCTTCACGAACAGCCAGGGGGCAGGCATTTTGCATAAAAACTTCACCTAATAGTTCACAAAGGGTTCACAGAGAACCCTGCATCCAGAGTTTTTTTTGACAGAACCCACATCCCTAGCTCTGGATTCTCTTCACCACTAAGCTTTGCAGTTGTTTTTGAATCACCATAAAGTTTTAGCAGGGTGCACGCCAGAAACAAAACATACACATATGCAGAAGTAGGAGAATGGATTTTCTTTTGATTTTTTTTTAATTTTTATTTTTTTTCTTCACAACTTATTTGTTATATATCCCGATTGAAGCCCCCGCCCTCAACAACCCACCTTCCCTCTCTCTTCCCCTCATCCCCTTCGCCTGCTCTACTGAAAGGGGGAGTTCTCTACTATTGCCATCTGCCCATAGCTTGCCAAGTTTCATCAGGACTGCTTGGATCCTTTTCCTCCATGGCCTGGCAAGGCTGCATCATCAGGGGCGAGTGATCAGAAAGCAGTCAACTGGGTTCATGATAGAGGCAGCTCCTGCTCCAGTTTCTCAGAGACCCACATGGAGACTGAGCTGCCAATTGGCCACATCTGAGCAGGGGGTCTAGGTCCTTTCCATGCATGGTCCTCCATTGGTGTATCAGTCTTTGCAGGAGCCCCCGGGCTCAGATCTTTTAGTTTTGTTCTCCTTGTGGGTGTCCTGTCCCCTCCATGTCCCTCTAATCCTCCATAAGACTCCCTTTACTCTGCCCAAAGTTTGGGCCTGAGTCTCAGTATCTATCTGCTTTGATCGCCTGAGAGACAGTTCTCCCAGGCTGGCTTTCAACTCCCGATTCTTCTGCCTTTACCTGGCAAGTGCTGGGCTTATAGATCTGCAACATTATATAAGATGCACAAGGCTTATTATTATTATTATTTTTTTTTGAGATACAATTTCACTGTGTAGGCCACCCTGGTCTAGAATTTCCAGCCATTCTCCCTGGTGAGCCTCTGTAATGCTGAGCTTAGAGCCATGTATGGCCATGCTCAGGCAGGGTTATTATTCTTGACTATCAGAAGCTGTTTCTCTTTGTGAACTTCTTAGCACTCATCACTCTTACCTTCTTGTGTATGTTACTCATGATTTATAAATATACACGCTTATCATGTTATGACCAGTTAGTGTTTAATGCTTGGGGTTATAAGTATAGTAATGCATTTGATGCTTGTAATGAGCCAGTTGTTAAAAGGTAAAAAAAAAAAAAAAAAAAAAAAAAGAGGTGGGAGTTCTCCACTATTGCTACCTGCCCAATAGCTTGTCAAGTCTCATCAGGACTGCTTGGATCCTCTTCCTCCGTGGCCTGGCAAAGCTGCATCATCAGGGGTGAGGCTCCTGCTACTGGAGGAGGAGCCAGTAGCAGGTCTGAAATTTTCTCTCATGTTGAATACTTTTCAATGGATTAGTTATTATTATTGTGTTGTTGTTTCAGCAGATACACTGAAGTACTCAGTACTCAGTTACTGCCCCAAATGGATACAATCAGTGGGTCATAGACTGCATACTTCTCTGCCACTAGTCTTGTGATGTCAGAACCTTTGATGTTATCTGGGTGGTGGTGGCAGCACATGCCTTTAATCCCAGCACTCAGGGAGGCAGCAGCAGGTAGATCTCTGCGAGTTTGAGGCCAGCCTGGTCTACAAAGTGAGTCTAGGACAGCTGAGGCTATGAGGAGAAACCCTGTCCTGAAAAAACCCCAAACCTCTCAGCACTAGGGTGGCAGAGGCAGGTGGATCTATGAATTCGGGACCAGCCTGGTCTACAAAGTAAGTCCAGGAAAACAAAGGTACAAAAAGAAACCCTGGTTTCAATACTCTTTCCCCTGCCCCCCCCCCCCCCCAATAAAAAACCCCTTCCCCCCCCCCCCCCCCCCCAAAAAAAAAAAACCCCAACCCAATCCCCCAAGACAAAACAAAAAACAAACCACCACAACAAAAACCAAACCAAACCAAAGAAATACCATCCGAACCCCCTCCGCTATGGGTACTGACACCTCAAATGTCGAATTAAAATCTGTAAGGCAAAATTCTCTAATCAAAAAAGAAACTCACCTTTAGGTTTAATATGGGTAACAGCCCTTCCTACTGAAGACAGTCTCTTCGGCTGGCCTGAGGAGGGAAGCACAGGGCAGAGGGAAATGATGTGAACTCCTGCTATGCGGAGAACAGGTTAAGACAGAAAATACACCTGAGGCACAACTACTTTTAGTTAAACCTTGTGTTTCAGCTCTGAATTTCCTAGATGCCTGAGGAACTGCCTCTAATATCTCTTCCTACCTGTTGTATTGAGACCTTGCACCCCCACAAAGCAGATTACAGCAAGGCCACCTGTCATTTAGGGAGCCTGAGTGCATAATGCTGACTTTGAAATTTGACTGCCTTTGTCCCTCTCCATCATTTTACCTAGAGCCCAACCTCGATCAGAAGGAAAAGGCAGAGAAGCCATGCTGGAGCCACAGGTGTCAGCTTTAGAGTTTCACAAAGCACACACTTTCACCAACAACTCTTGGCCTCCATCACAACCATTGATGCTCACTGCTGCCTTCCTTACGGAGCAGTCTCGGCACATGAGTGTCAAGCTCACACGCATTACCTTGGTGGATCTCACATCAGTGTCCCACACCAGATGCAGGGCAGAGGAGCCACACGTGTTTACACAGGTGGTTACGAGGCCCCTCACTGCTACAGCCCCACACTGCAGCCTCTACAGACGGTAGGGTGGGGTGCAGTTTCCTGCTGCGTTGTCAAGGCAACAGCTGGCCTCAGCAGCTGGCCACTTCAGTGATGCCTCAAATGTGTGGGTTACCCTTGTGGGGAGGGGCCATCACCAGCAGCCTCAGCAAGACAGCCAGCATCCCGCTCCGGTGTTGGGGAAGTAACTGGGCGATGGAGCTCATACACGGATACAAGGATACGCTCACACACATGCGCAGGGGAGCATACAGACACAGGCAAGTCCGTGCGTGTGAGAAAGCGCACACGCAGTTGTTCACAGATATACGCGAACACATTCTGGGGCACGCGCACACAGAAGGACACACATGTTAGGGTTATGATTGCTGTGATGAAACAACAACCAAAACAACTTGAGAAGAAAAAGGTTTATTTGGGCTGTATTTCCACCTCACTGCTCATCATAGGAGGAAGTTAGGGTAGAAACTTCAAGCAGAGCTAGCTGGACTCTGGAGGCAAGGAGGCAAGAGGTCATGCAGAGGCCCAGGAGGGTGCTATTTACGACTGGCTTGCTCAGCCTGCTTTCTTATAGAACCCAGAAGCCTCGGTATGGCACCATCCACAATGCACTGAGCCCTCCCACATTAATCACCAGTTAAGAAAATGCTCTCTAGGCTTGCCTACAGTGATCTTACTGGGGCTTTCTTTTTAGCCCCTTCAAGACTGGGTTTCTCTGTGTAGTCCTGGCTGTCCTGGAACTTGCTCTATAGACCAGGTTGGCCTTGAACTCAGAGATTCACCTGCCTCTGCCTCCCAAATGCTGGGATAAAAAGCATGCACAAACCACTGTCCAGCTACAAAAATCATCATTTCGTGTAATTAATATAGGCTAGAACGCAATAATTTAAGGGGCTTTAACTTAATGTATGTTTTCACTAACATAGATTCCCCTTTTCCTCTTTTAAAGACAAGGTCTGATTATGTAGACCACACTGGCCTTGAATTAACAGGGATCCACTTGCCTTCCAGGTACTGGGATATTAAAGGTTAAATATGATATATAAGGGCTGGAGAGAAGGCTCGGTGGTTAAGAACATTTGCTACTATTACAGAGGACCTGGGTTCAATTCCTAGCACCTACATGGCAGCTCACAACCACCCCCAACTCCAGTTCAAGCGCATCTGATGCTGCCTTCCGACCTCACCAGACACCAGACATGCACTTGGGACACATACATACAGCCCAGCAAAACACACACATAAACTCAAAAAGCACCATGGCTCTTGTAGAGGGGCCTGAGTTCAAATATATAGTCCCATTCCCATAATTAAAGGAAAGAAGAAGAAAAAAACAATGGCTGGAGAGATGGCTCAGTGGTTAGGTGCACTATCTGCTCTTCCAGAGGTCCTGCTCTTCCAGAGTTCAATTCCCAGCAACCACATGGTGACTCACAGCCATCAATACTAGGATCTGTCGCCCTCTTCTGGCACACAGGTGTACATGCAGATGAAACAATATATACATTAAATAAAATAAATTAAAAACAACAACAACAACAAAAAACAAAGAAAAACCAAACTCAAATCTATCTGCAACTCCAGTCCCAGGAGATCCAACATCCTCTTCTGGCCTCCTCCACAGGCATCAAGGACAAACAAGATGCACAGACATACAATAAGCAGAACATCTACACACATTAAAAAAAAAAAAAAAACAAAAACACACAAAAAAAAAAAAAAACCAACAAAAAACAAAAAAACAAAAAACTAAGCTGGGTGGTGGAGGCATATCCATTTAATCCCAGCACTTGGGAGGCAGAGGTAGGCAGATGTCTGAGTTTGAGGCCAGCCTAGTGTTCCAAAAAACCAACAATATAAACAAAAACCCTAAAACAAATAAACAACCCCCCCCCCAAAAAAAAAGGCAGGCTGGGCGCAGTGGTGCAGGCCTGTAATCCCAGCACACAGGGAGGCAGAGACAGGTGGATCATTTTGAGTTTGAGGCCAACCTGGTCTACAAAGTGAGTCCAAGACAGCCGAGGATACACAGAGAAACCTTGTCCGGAAAAATAAAACAAAAAGGACAAACAGGTCCCAGAAATGCAAATGCTACATTATACCCACAGGTGGACTGTGATAATGTGAATGACTGAGAGAGAATAGAACTGTGGTCACGGTGCCTGGGAGAGGATATGTGTGGCTTCAGTTGGAGAAGAAATGACTTTGGAAATCTGCTGTGGGACTTGGAAATGCTTATGAAAAACTGAATCTAGCCTATTTGAAAATTTCTGAGGGAAGAATTTCACTGACAAATATGATAATAAATGAGGGGAGGGATGGATTATAGGTCAACTTGAGTTAGTCACTCCAGAATCTATACAAATTTCAAAACATTGTTTGATACTACATAAATATTTATCCTTTTTTTTTTTATACAAGGTTTTTATGTAGCCTAGATGACAAGAGTCTCTCTACATATCCCTGACTGTCCTAGAACTCATTATGTAGACCTGACTGGTCTTGAGCTCAGAGATCCACCCACCTCTACCTCCCAGGTGACTTTAAACTCTGCCCCTCCCCTTCCATACCCAAGACAGGGTTTCTCTGTGTAGTGCTGGCTGTCCTGAACTCAGAGATCTGCCTGCCTCCACCTCCCAAGTACTGGGATCAAAGGTGTGCTCCACCACTGCCTGGCTAACTTGAACTCTTGATCTTCTCATCTCTACCTCTGGAGCTTGAGTTACCAGTGTGGTGGTTTGAATGAGAATGGTTACATGGGCTTATATGTTTGCATGCTTAGACATCAGGGAGTAGAACTGTTTGGGAAGGATTACAAGGTGTACCCTTGCTGGAGGAGGTGTCACCGGGGGTGCACTTTGAGGTTTCAAAAGTTCATGCCAGCCTCAGTCTCTGCCTGCTGTCTGTAGATCAGGCTATAGCTCTCAGCTATTTCTCCAGCACCATGCCTGCCTGCCACCGAGTTTGGTAACAGATGGACTAACCCTCTGAAACTGTAAGCCAGTCTCTAATTAAATGTTTCTTCTATACATTGCTTTGGTCATGGTGTCTCTTCACAACAGAACAGTAATAAAGATAACCATCATGCACATTTGTCAACTTTTCCCTCGCAGTACAGTACCCAGAGCCAGAACTTTCTGTTCTTGAGGCAAATGTCTCTGAGCTATGTTCCTAGCTCAGTTAATTTTTTTTTTAAAGTACTAATTATATCTTTAAACAGTAATCATAGGCTGTAGTGAGGCTCAGCGGTTAAGAGTGTATCCCTCTCTCTTAGTTAGAGTTTCAGTGCTGTGGAAAGATACCAGGGCAACTCTTTTTCATTTTTTCCTTTTTAAAAAAATTTTTTTATTACAATTTATTCACTTTGTATCCCAGCTGTAGCCTCCTTCTTCATCCCTTCCCAATTTTTTTTTTAATTTTTAATTTATTATTTATCACAATTTATTCACTTTGTATCTTGGCTGTGGTCCCCTCCCTCATCTTCTCCCATGCCTCTCCCCTAGTCCACTCATAGGGGAGGTCCTCCTCCTCTCCCATCTGACCCTAGCCTATCAGGTCTCATCAGGACTGGCTGCATTGTCTTTCTCTGTGGCCTGGTAAGGCTGCTCCCCAGAGCGGGAGGTGAGCAGAGAGCCTGCCACTGAGTTCATGCCAGAGATAGCCCTTGCTCTGCTTACTAGGAAACCCACTTGGAGACTGAGTCTATGGACTATATCTGAGCAGGGGTTTTAGGTCCTCTCCATGCATGATCCTTGATTGGGGTATTGGTCTCTGCAGGGCCCCCAGGGCTCAGTATTTTTGGCTCTGTTGGTCTCCTTATGGAGCTCCTGACCCCTCCTGGTCTTTCTATCCCTTATTTAATAAAATTCCATGCTCTCTGCCCAAAGTTTGGCTGTGAGTCTCAGCCTCTGCTTCAATACCTCGATCAATAGAGTCTTTCAGAGGTCATTCTGTGGTAACCAGGGCAACTCTTATAAAACAATAAACAAACAACATTTACTTGGGGCTGGCTTACAGGTGCAGAAGTTTAGACAGTTATCATCATGGTGGGAAGCATGGCAGCATGCAGGCAGACATGGTTCAGGAGGAGCTGAGAGTTCTACATCCTGATCTGCAGGCAGCAGAAGAGACTGGATCAACACTAGGCATAGTCTGAGCACAGGAGACCTCAAAGCCCAAACCCACAGTGACACCCTTCCTACAACAAGCCACACCTCCTAATGGTGCCACTCCCTGTGAGTAAGCATCCAAACGGGAGTCTCTGGGGGCCGTTCCTACTCAAACCACCACACCAACTCTTTTGGAGGATCCAAATTTGATCCCAGGCATCCATGTTGGGTGGCTCACACTACATGCACATTCACTTCACAGAGATCTAATATCCTCTTCTGGTATCTGTGGAAGCACAGACCCATGTGGCACACACACAGACACATATGTACACATAAAGAAACTGAATTACAAAAAAATTACAAACATCCTCTCTCTTAGATCAAAGAAGCATAAACTCAACTTCATGAAGGTATCAGTGCTAAAACTGATATCTAGGAAGAAATTTCCTACACTGTCAAGTTCTTAGAAGAGCAGAGCCTATGGGAGGATTGGAACAGTTCTCCAAGTGAGTCTGTGCATACTCTTTGGGGAAGGCTGGTCAGTGGAGAGCACACTGTGTGCCCCTGACACATCTCTAGGGAGCAATTACAGGGCAAACTGCTATTAAGGGACACAGGAAAAAGGTCTCCCTCATAGAAAGGAGATCTGTAATAACAAAATGGCTACTCACCTTAACCTTTACCTTATGATTGGAAACTTCTCTCCTGGTGTGATTTCGTTTCATCAGGCTTGTGGGGAAAGCGGAGGCTATGGATGAGACAATAAACATTCTGAAGTTTAAAAGCGTACTAGAATATGCTTACAGGTTGTGGTCCAGCTAGTCCAAAAATGGCTGTCTACCAGCAGAAAGAGTCCAGTAGATGTAAGCAAGAGGCTGGTTGGCTCACCTGGTCTTCAGTGTATGTTTGAATTCCAAAGAAGTAGGTTTCAATGCCGGTGAAGGAATGAACTTGTAGTGAGAGCAAGGGCAAGCAGGCAAATAGCCAAAGTTTCCTTCTCCCATAACATTTATGTAGGCTGCCAGCAGAAGGTGTGAGTCCCAGATTTATGGTGGATCTTCCCACACAAAAGATCCAGATTTCAGATGGATCTTCCCACCTCTAATGATTCAATCAAGGCAAGTCCAGTCACTTGGGTTTTAGTTAATTTTAGATGTGGTCAAATTAATACCCAAGAATAACCATCACATTTTAAAAAGGGGAGCAAGGACGTCTACTGGAGTTTAGTCCGGGGGTCTCTTACGCTGGAAGAGTCAACTCTATGGAGCTGCCCTCTGAGCGTCACATGTGCTCCCTGAAACACACATAATCACAAGCTAATTATTAAAGCAAACAGAAACCCCAAACAATGACAAAAAAAAAAAAAAAAGCCAGTGAAATCTTGACTACACACTGTCCAGAGGCAGGAGATAAAAACCATTAGAAAGAACAGTGTGTACATACCGAGATGACAGTGAAATTGGCAGTGGTTCCTTCTGCTCTCATGTCAGAAACATCTGTAAAGAAGGCACACTTGAGTCCTTTTCTAGTCATGTAGGTAGCCTTCCTGGACAGTATGTTTGATAACCTTGCCCAAGATACAGCCTGGTGACCCCCTCCCCTTTTTATGAACTATGATGAAGCAACTGTACATGCTAAATATATGCTCTACCACTCAGTGAGCAACATCCCAAGACAGTAAATGACAGTATTATTGTTCCCATGTTCTGCCAGGTATCAGTGTTCAGAGCTCAATGGTCACAGGGTTGAATGAAGGTGAAGGAAGAGGAAGGATTGGTCAAGGACAGGTTACAATATAGCGCCCTTGTCATTCAAAGGACAGTGTACCTGGCGTACAGATGCCCTGCCAGTCACAGGCTCAGAGTCAACAGCGTCCCCATCACCTTGAGAGTGGTACAGCTTCATGTGTGGGCACAGAGGCTCTCCAGAGTAGTGTGCAACCAAAGCAGAATGAGGTAGAAAACAACAATTAGCATAGACATCTGTAAACTCTCGCTTGCTTGCCTGCCCCACCTTGTGGTTTTAGAGTATGAAAAGAGAATGCAAACTGGACCTGGGATCAAACCCTTTCTAGAACTGTCCTGGCTTTGGTCTGCTAGTGACATCTCCTCTCTTCCACTCTCATCGCTGTAGGAGTGCTTATTCCATAAAGGGTCCCACTGTATTTCTTTCTTTTTTTTTTAATTTTTAAATTTTTTTTAACTTTTATTAATTACACTTTATTCACTTTGTATGCCCCCATAAACCCCTCTCTCCTCCCCTCCTAATCCTACCTTCCCTTCCCCTTCTTCACGAATGCCCCTCCCCAAGTCCACTGATAGGGGAGGTCCCCCTCTCCTTCCTTCTGATCCTAGTCTATCAGATCTCATCAGGAGTGGCTGAATTGTCATCTTCTGTGGCCTGGTAAGGCTGCTCCCCCATCAGGGGGAGGTGATCAAAGAGCAGGCCAATCAGTTCATGTCAGAGGCAGTCCCTCTTCCCATTACTATGGAACCCACTTGGACACTGAACTGCTATGGGCTACATCTGTGCAGGGGTTCTAGGTTATCTCCATACATGGTACTTGGTTGGAGTATGAGTCTCTGGAAAGAGCCCTGTGCTCAAATGTTCTGGTTCTGTTGCTCTCCACTGCATTTCTGAAGGCCCCAGTGAGATCTTTATCAGGTCTCTAGGTGGTCTGGAGAGGCTGCCCACTCCCTTGCCTCTCATCCCAATGAAGTTCTCTGGACATGGGAAGCATAAGCCCCCAGCAGGACTCCTGGGCCCTCCTCAGGGAACTGGGAGAGCCTGACTGGAGTGGAAGAGGAAGAGCCTGGGCTGGTCATTCAGGTAAGGATTCCCAGGGAAGAGAGGCAGGAAGAGCCAGCACCAGCTTGGTCACCCTGCAGGAGATTGTATCCAAAGCCTCGATGGGACACTGAGGTGACACTGGTCTCCAAAGGAAAGGTAGACTGGTCTCTGGAGAATAGGCTAGGAATTTAAAATGGGAATATATAACTTCCAAACAAATGTGTGAATGTGCATGTGTGAACTTGCATGGTCCCATGGCTCTGTGGCTATGAGAGCTGATCGAGCACCAATCTGCAGTTCAGCTGAGGTCGTTTTACCTGAATGGGTACTTGCCTTTTGTAATAGAAGGTGACCAAGCACGAGGATAACATATATGTGGCCCCAAGGTCAGAACTCTTAAGTTGCTTCGAGGGGCCTGGCCAGGTGGGCAATGCTTGTAGGAGAAGCTGGTCTTCACCAGCCACTATGCACAGGGCTACACACATGTAGCCTCCTCAAGCTCCCGGTTAGGGAACTCTTCACATCATCTCTACCATCCCAGTGTGAGACCCGCACAGTCCTACAAGCCGTGCTCAACAACACTGAAAGAGATGTACTGCTGTGTGGTTATGGAATAACGATGAAGTCCTTTAAAGTGAAATTGACTGGCTGTCCTTTGATATTGCATGGCCACCTGAAGGAACTCTAGATTTTGCTTTGATTAACAGACTCTTTGGGATCTGTTTGAGACCACCTGGCCATGGAGACCACTTCCTATATATTGATTCATGGTGTTTCTTGGCCTGAGACCCTCTAGGGTGGCTTCACTACTATATACTAGGGCCTTCCCAGCCCCAGACCATATTGGCTGCAAAGATTTTTAAGCTTGGAGGCACCAATGAAGCACCACTATTAGCTTTTCCCCACTATGAAATTTTGCCTGTGATTCCACCTCCCTACCAGCACCGCACAGCCTCAAGGCAGTTGGAAGAGCACTTGATCCTGCCTCTGCAGTGACATCCACCTACACACAATGTTTACCAACCTTGGCAGTCCAGCCAGCTCTGCAAGACTCAACTACACGGGATGCTCCCCAGACTTCGCTCAGTTGGGTTCATGGGAAGAATCCTTTTCCTTGTGCCACTGAGGAAAATGCCCTCATTCAAAATAACAGCTGTTATCAGGCTCTAAATTCAGCCATACACTTGCCTGCAGAGGAGACTCCTATGATTTCAGAGGAATTATAAAAGAGATTTTCTCCTCACGGCCAGAGTTAAAGGATGAGCGGCTCCCTAACTCCGATACAGAACCTTTTAAGGATGGGGCTGATAGTCCCTCATTTCAAGAGACTCAAGGCAACAACCTATCTCGAAAGGAGGACCCCTACCAAGCAGATGCAGTCCCGCCTCCCATTCATTGCCTCCCAGAAGGGATGTTTACACTCTGGGCTCCCCTCCTAGGAATAGGAAGAAAGGAAAACAACAACTAATGAGGGGATACTGAAAATCAGCAGGGCTGGCTGGTCACCACAGACAGTAAAATAGTAAGTGCAGAGATGACAGCTCCCAGCCTAGTCTGGCAAGCTCATGACACAACCATCTGGAAAACACTTCCCTACAGGAATTGTTGCAAAGGTATTTGATGGTCTTGAGGTTGCCAGCACTGACCCAGCAAGCTAGCAAAGCCTGTCTGCAGATTGCCTGGAACAACCCCGAGCAGGAAACCCTAGGCCCACATACTGACATAAAAACAGGGGTCCTACCCCTTTAAACATACAGAAGTGGCCTTTATTGACACCCCACCCAGTAGAGAGGACTGCTAACTTACTAGTTGTGCTGGCCACCATTTTTAATTTTTATTTTTAAGGCTGGGTAGAAGCCTTTTCTAGCCACAGGGAGAATTACCTTGAAACTTGCACATATTGATACCACCTTCAATGTTTATGCCAAGTTGAAAGGACTTTTAAAAAAGACTTTTAAAATGGCACAGCCAAGAAAGAGACCTCCCTCGACCAGAAACTCTGCCACTTGTACTTACAGTTTAGGGTTTGATCTTTTTGAGACCGTGTCTGCCTACCCACCTCCATTGTTCCCAAAGGACTCAGGGATCTCTGAGAGTACGGACACAACTGCCTGCAGCAGTTCTTGAAAGCCTTGGCTGACACTTCACAAAAAGTGCTTCAAGTAGCCGGTATCAAGCTGTGGATATGCCCCACCCCCACCAAGGCTGCTGTGGACTGTGAGAGCCGACCTAGACAAGCCTCTGAACCTGACCACCTCGAAACAGCCTCTGAATTGAGACAACAGCTCAGCCCCCTTTCTGCCTTCTGATGCCCTTTCTGATGTTCTGATTCAGCGAATGTGCAGCCATGCAGTCCCCATTCTGTCTCTCCGATCCTGTTACATAAACTAGTCTGGAGGGCAATCTTGTATCAGGATAACTTCAATCCATTCCTCAAATAAGAACGCAAACTGAATCCGAGCCGATGTCCTTTTAGTCCCTTGTCCAGGTGGATCAGCTAGACGGGTAATGTCTCTCTTCCACTCTCTTTGGTGGGGGAGTACTTATTCCAGAAATATTCCTGCAAGAACGGAGTTGTGGCATGGTACTGGCATAGAAACAGAATGATGGATCAATGGAATCGAACAGAAGACCCAGAAATAAACCCACACACTTACGGACACCTGATTTTTGACAAAGATGCCAAAACCATACAATGGAAAAAAGATAGCATCTTCAACAAATGGTGCTGGTCCAACTGGATGTCTACATGTAGAAAAATGAAAATAGATCCATACTTATCACCCTGCACAAAACTGAAGTCCAAGTGGATCAAAGACCTCAACATAAAACCAGACACATTAAATCGGCTAGAAAAAAAAGTGGGGAATACCCTAGAACTCATTGGTACAGGAGAAAACTTCCTGAACAGAACACCAACAGCACAGGCTCTAAGAGCAACAATCAATAAATGGGACCTCATGAAATTGAAAAGCTTCTGTAAAGCAAAGGACACCGTCATCAAAGCAAAGCGACTGCCTACAGATTGGGAAAGAATCATCACCAACCCTTTATCTGACAGAGGACTCATATCCAATATATATAAAGAACTAAACAAGCTGAAAAGCAACAAACCAAGTAATCCACTTAAAATGGGGAACAGAGCTAAAGAGAGAATTCTCTGTAGAGGAATATCGAATGGCAGAGAAGCACTTAATGAAATGCTCAACCTCATTAGCCATTAGGGAAATGCAAATCAAAACAACCCTGAGATTTCACCTTACACCGAATGGCCAAGATGAAAAACTCAAGTGACAACACATGCTGGAGAGGTTGTGGAGAAAGGGGCACTCTTCTCCACTGTTGGTGGGAATGTAAACTGGTACAACCACTCTGGAAATCAATCTGGTGCTTTCTCAGACAACTAGGAATAGCGCTTCCTCAAGATCCAGCCATACCACTCCTAGGCATATACCGAAAAGAGGCTCAAGTTCACAAAAAGGACATTTGTTCAACCA